CCTGAAGCAGAGCCTGTGAGTGGGGAGCGACAGGGTATGAGGGAAGCTTTGCCGGACGTAGCCACCCTCTCCTGGAAGGGAGACAATAGCTGGAAACCATTTCTCACCTTTGTTCTCCCAGTCCTACCTCTCCTGGTGCATCCAGATGGGAGAAGGCAAAAGCCAAATATTCTAACCAGGAGGTCACAGGGTAGTGACTGGCTCTGTCTGCGTGAAGTTAAGAGAACAAGTTTTCCAAGATGCCTTTGTAGAAAAGAGAGACTGTCTGCCTTCTATGTTATCCCCTAAGCCCCGAGTCAGCAGTTAGGCAGAGTTGCAAACTCCCTGCTTTTGGAAGTGTCCTGGTGTTCTTTTTGTCTTTTTCCTCCACCAAAATGGCTCTTCCCCACCCCCTACCCAAATCTGCAGACACCTACATTCTTGACTCCTGTCTTCCTCCTACAGGCCTCCTCGCCTTTTCCTGCCCTTCTTAAACACGCCCTAAGAAAAGTTTAGCTTTTGTAGTCTTCCTCACTTGTGCCAAGAATCATAAATCTTGCACAGCTAAGAGAACAGGTTTGTTCTAAATAATAATAACAATAACAACTATCCCGTCTGTTCTTGTCAGTGCATTTAAAATTAAGCCATTTTGCTCGTTCTTCTCATCTTCTTAGAAGTACAAATGTCTTTATCACCTCTTAGCCCCTTCTGCCTGTCCGGAGGTGAGAATTGTAACAGAAACTTCTCCGTGAAGTTCTTACAGCCTCTTATTGCCAGCCGGTCTGGAGCTCAAGCTAAACACAGGGTCCTCCTTTTGTCACCCTCTCCTCAACCTCCCCTCCCCCTGCAAGATGGTCTGGATTTTAAAAATAATCACTCACCGCTTGTTGTCTGTTCTCAAAAAAAGGGGGGGTTGTTAAAAAAAAAAAGGTCTGGCCTTCCCCCTTACTGATTGGAAACTGGGCCTGGACATTTGTGAGGAGAGGAAGAATAGAGAGGGTGTGGGGAAGAGAAGAAACAGACTAGGAGACTCAGAAGAAGAGAGCCAGAGCGAGCGGGCAGAAGACCCAGCCACCAGTCCCAGAGGAGTGAAACTATTCAAAAAAAAAAAAAGTCCTAGTGTTCCACTGAAAATGAATGCAGACGGGCACCCAGCACACCCACCCCCAGGGAAGCAGTGCTTTTGACTAGGCCTTCCAACAGCTACTTCTCAAATTAGCATAATGGTTTACTAGTGGGGTGGAGGGAGCTGTGTACTCCAACGGGCTTTGCCTCGCCTTTGCTCCCCCTGCCTCCACTGCCAAAATCACCATTTAAAAATTTACCTGTTCTTGAAACAAAAAACAAACAAAAAACCCCACCCGAAGAAAACCTCTACCTTCTTTCCTTTCTCACTCTTTCTTTTTTTTGGGGGGGGGGGTAAAAATCCCCCCCTCCCCCAATACCACCATTACCTTCTCTCCTTATCAGGCATCTAAGCTTGCTAAAGGGGGAGAGGTGTGTGTGTGTGTGTGTGTGTGTGTGTGTGTGTGTGAGCTTGTGTGTGTGTGTGTGTGTGTGTG